TCTGCTGCCGCTGCTGCAGCGGCTGCGGGCCGAGTGGACAGCCGTTGCTGAAGCAAAGAGAGCAATGGAGACGGAGAGCAGCAGCAGCAGCAGCAGCAGCAGCAGCGAGGAGGAGAGGCGGCTAGGCGTGTACCTGCAGCGGGTGTATGCCCTCAGCAACGTCGGCGAAGTGCTGCTGCAGCAGATCGGCTCGCTGCTGCACCACAAGACCAACTCCGTGGTTGCTGCTGCTGCTGCCAACAGCAGCAGCAGCAACGGGGCCAAGACACCGACCAATGCATGCATCAGCAAACTAAATGCAAGTGCTGCTGTTTCTGCATCTCCAGCAGATGATGAGGAGGCCCCGCGAATTGCCCGCCAGGAGAGCAACACGAGCCTCCCTGGCAGCAGCAGCAGCAGCAGCAGCAGCAGCGCAAACGAATTGCGGCTGGGGGTTTACTACAACGCTGCGCTGCTGCAGCCGCTCGTTGCTGCTGTCCTCGAGCTTCAGCGCTGGCCCATCCCCGCTATCATTCACCAGGGACACGTGAGCTGCTGCTGCTGCTGCTGCTGCTGCTGCTGCTGCTGCTGCTGCTCTTGTTTTGCGGCTGCGCCTGCGGCAGATTAAAGAGCTGGCAACTTCAGCTTCTCGAAGCGTGAGGGGTAGGAAAGACACGCTGTGCTTGGAAAGACAATTTCTGCTGCTGCTGTTGTTGCTGCTGCAGGCGGTGCTGAGGGCTGTGGGGAAGACAGCAGCAAAGCTGCCTCCCCCTGTGCCTGCCAGCCTGCTGGACTTGTGCTGCATCGGCTTGTCGCAGCTCATTTCGTCTTATCTGGATGTCTCGTACGCAGCACGTGCTGTTGCTGCTGCTGCTGCTGCTGCTGCTGCTGCTGCTGACGCCGCGGCACCGGCTGCTAGATCTGCTACCGCTGCTGCTTCGCCTGGCTACAGCTGCGTTGTCGCCGCTGCAGTTGTTCTGTAGCAGCAGCAGCAGCAGCAGCAGCAGGCGCGTTAATGTTTTGCTCAGGCCGTTTGACCCGTTTGCGTTTGGCTGCGCCTCGCTGCAGCAGCAGCTGATGCAGCAGCAGCACGAAAGCGGAGGCTGCACACCTCTGCAGAAATATATAACAGGTGCAGATGCTGCGGGCAGCGGCGCCTCTTTGCTGCTGGACTACACCGGCAGCATTTACCAGCTTCTGAAGGCTCTCGTCAAGTGAGCAGCAGCAGCAGCAGCAGCAGCGGCAGCAGCAGAAGCAGCGGCAAAAGCAGCAGGAACAGCAGCTAAAGCAGCAGCAACAGCAGGGTAGGGATGCATTCACGGTTTTGTTCGCCAGTGAATATGGGCGAAGCATTTGCAGCTGTGCGTAGTTTTGCTGTTACTGCTGCTGCTGCTGCTGCTGCAGGGCTGCAAGCGCGAAGGAGAAAGCTGCAGACAACTCT